TGTACTATTTTACACAATCTCATGGTACTGCTGTGAAATAGATATTGCCACATCCATGCTAAGGACAAGGAGCAGAAGCTGAAAAGGACAAATAATTGACCAAGATTGTTCAGTGTTTGACACATGTGGGAGCTGAAATTTGAACCCACAGGTGTTCATTTAGCTTTGACACCTATGCTTTTTCACAGTAGGCTATAGGCAGAGCTGGCCCTTTAAGAGCTCTGCTCTGGATTTCATGTCAGATGTTAAGAACAGTCCTCTCCCCGAATCCCATGTATGGAATGATGGGAATACAGAGACTCTTAGAAAAATGTCATGTTCCTCGCTGCCCTCTGCTCTGCTGTGGTTCCAGCTGGCCACAGTCATTTCCCTCTGGTTGTGTTGGCAGAAGAAGTTTATAGGAACAGTCCCCTTCTGGACCCTGGTGCCTGTCCCTGTGTGGTGAATACCTTCTTCAGCCCCTGCTGGGATGGGGTGCCATGGGGACCTCAGCCATAGCTGTAAACAAGGCTCAGGCTGCCTGGTCAGAGTGGCCTTGGGGAGGAGTGATTTGGCCTCTCAGGATCCCATTTCAGTTGGCTGCCAAAGACTGAATGTCGCTGCTTTGCAAGGCCACTTCCAGCGTCACTGTCTCTGACCCTGAGGGCGATGTCTCAGCTTTGATTGAAGGTCCTGACTGAAAGGAAGGGGTAGGGAGAAACTTGGCAGCATGGTGGGTGACATCAGCCCTGGTGCCGCTTGGAGGAAATGGATGGGATTTGTAAGTAGAGTTGGTGGCTTCAAACCCTAGTTTCCTGGCTGGCCCTCTGGACATAGATTTTTAATTGTTTCTCGACAGCTCTTTTATGGGTCAGCTCTCCCAGGCCTCTGATTCCTCGTAATGAGGTTGGCTGCAGCCCTGGAGAACTGCCCTCATCAGCAGGTTAGTGCTTCTCCAAGAGGAGCCCTCTGGCACCAGACCGGATTACTCAGTGTCACTTTTTACTGAGAACACACCCTGATCTGAGATTGTGAAAGTTGTGCTGACTGCCAGGATGGAAGGGTGAGGGCCAGGGCTCAGGTGGGGCAGGTGGGAATGGGTGTCAGGGTCACACTTACCTGTTTTTGAAGGGGGAGGGCTGCCGAGAGCAAATCCAGGCCATTGCAAGCGCTAAGCGTGTGTTCTGTCACAGCTACATCCCAGCCCTTGGGCTGGTTTCACCTTCCAGGCACCTAGCTGACTTTTGTCACACTGGTTGTCAGATTGGTGTGCTCATCTTTGCAGACCTCTGCCCACAGTGCCGGTCTACACGTCACCCACACACGAGGCTCAGAGGACTGATCTATGCATGCGTGTGCTGACAAGCCACACGCTGCCCCGCAGGTGGAGAGCAGAGCGGTCTCTTTCCATCATCCCTACCGATGTCCCCTGATGACGAGTGTGAGATTTCAGGTGACTTTACTGCTGACTTTAACCCTGTTAGATGTGCTGATTAGCCAAGGCTCGTCCTGGCTGCTGGAAGTCGGTGGTTTATAGAGGAGGACACAGGGAACCGGACATACACACCTCTGAAAGTGAAGGTTGAAAGACAAGGCTTGCATTCTCCAGAGACCGCTCTGGAGCTGGTCTGCTGGCCTTCCAGAGTGGGCCTCATCTAGCGCTGACCCCTGAGGTATGCTGCTGGATTGCCAGGCCAGCCGGGTTCTGGTGCTCTGTGTCTTAGTTGAGGTCCTCATGTTGCACAACAGTCTCCCTGCCTTGTGACCTTATGACCTTATTTACCGGATTTCTTTCCTCTTTTTTTTTCCCCCCAGATGCTGTGACTGTGACAGACTCACTGGGATTTGTCCATGTTGGGGCGGACGCTTCCTTCCAGGTGTGATTGTGTTCATCTGGGCATGTCTGAAGTACCTTGGGCCCATGGACCTGAAGGAGAAGCATCTGGTGGGCCCTGCTCTCTTGCTGTGTGGCTGTTGTGGGAGTCTCTCTATTGAGCTAGTGTCTCTATTGGGCTCCCCTCACCTGGGGGTGCTGTGATGCCTGTGGGGGGTATAACTATGACCCCTTCTCAGAGGTCAGTATTGTCTGGCTGGGATGAATATAGGGTTAAGGGTAGCCTGGTTAACACAGCAGGCTTTCTGATTGGGTTTGATCCCAAGCCAGCCTTGCCCAAAGCTGTGTAATTTGGTTTGTTTGTGCTGTGCTAGGGCTGTGCCTCAACCTGCCTGGCCGTGTTGAAGACTGTTGGGCACCCTGTCTGTGGTTAGGGACAAGCATCTCATCAGATTCCAAAAAACAGCTGTGTGTTAATCAACAGGATTGAGCTAGGCCTGGTGGTGTGGGTCTGTAATCCCACTTACTCTAGAGACTGAGGCAGGGGAATGGCAAATTTGGGGCATGGGTGGACTATAAAGTGAGTTCAAGACTGCCTTTGGCAACTCTTGAGTTCAGCATCACCTGCTCCTAAGATCAGCAGGCTTGAGGAGTCCAGGCAGTTGAAGCCTGGATGGAAGTAGATGTAGGATATTCTTCTCCCATGGCCAAGACCGCCCCCGGGAAGTCTCTGTGTCTCCTGCCTGACTTCTGTATACCCTATTGTAGACCTCTGTCTTTGCTCATTCCCCTGGGGAATTTCTGGACTCACAAGTCCTGGACTAGAAAGCCACATACTAGCAGCAGCAGCCATGTTTATGGAGCATGGGACAAAGCTCTAGAGGCTGGGAGATGGCTCCCAGCTTGTAGAGGGTTACAGTCTAGCTGAGGGTCAGCAACATTGTCAGTTTAGTAATGGAACCCAGTGAGCTTCCAACCTACATGAGGACCTTTTCTCTGTAATTTTTTCTTGTATTTATTATGAATGTGTGTGCAGTGTGTATGTGGGTACATGTTCCACAGCGTGCAGGTGGAGGACAACTTCTAGGAGTTGGTTTTCCCCCTCCATCCTTGTTTGGGGTCTGGGGATCAAACTTGGGTCATCAGACTTGTATGCTTTACTCACCGGGCAGTCTTGCCAGTCCAGGAAGGATCTCTTCACTAACACACGGGGCTCAGAAGGTAAACTCTAATATAATAATACACAGGACTCTCAGAAAAAGGATTAAGAGGAGTTTGTATGGTAACAGTTGTTGCTCAGGTGGTCTGTAGTCAGCGCCTTAGGCCAGGGCTGGTTTTGTCTGTTGCTGTGTGACTTTTAGCACCCCAAACCCTCTCCTTTGGACCCACCGGTTCCCAGTCTGTCTGGAAGCACATGGTGGAAGACGTGTAGCTGGGCTGGCTTGGGCCCCTGTTTTTGAGATAACAGGGCTATTTTGCTAGCATTGAGGCAGGCAGGGTGGGAAGTGGGTGGAGAGGGAAAGGGCTGTGGTGCTGTCTACACAGCACCCTATGCACTCTAAGGTGTGCCATGGAGCAGAGAGAGCTGGTTTCCACCCCAGCAGTGACTTCCTGGAACCGAGGGATAGGAGTCCTTCTTGGTGGCTACAGCTGACAGTCCTCAGAGACTGGCACAGAAGTTGACCCCGCCCATCTCTCTTTCCTGCTCCCAGCAAAGACTTCCTGCCCTTAACCTCTGGACTGCCCAGCCCCTCCTTTCTGTCCCCATTCTGCTGTTTGGCAGGGGCCCCACAGGGAGGTACACAGGCCAGCAAGGGGGTGGGGAGAGGCATTCTCTTTCCTTGCAGCAGCTGGAGAGGGTGTAGTCTAGGAGACAGAAGGCCCTAGAGAAACACGCTCAGCCTCCAGCCTGCTCTCCAGCCAAGGGACCCATTAGGCCGTCTTCAGTCCCTGGGGTGTTGTACCATCCTACTGAAGAGGCCTATCCATTAACAGAGGAATGTCCAGTCTCCTCCTTACCTCTTCCTTTACCCACAGTGCCTGTACTGACTTCTTTTATGTCAAGCTAGGGGCTCAGAGCCATGTCTTTAGAGCCCTAGTCACTCACACCAGGCTTAAAGTGCAGAGTAGGGGCCTTTTTGCCTGTTCCTGGGCTTGGTGGCGATCAGGAGACAAAGGCAGGCAGATCACTTGACTTTGAGGCCAACCTGATCCATGTACACAGTGAGTTTCAAGACAGGCAGCGCCACACAGAGAGACTGCCACAAAGAAACCAACAACAACAACAATCAAACCAAAAGCGACCCAGGTGTGCCCAGGCAGCCCTGGTCTCTGGTGTGCCTGCATGTAGGGCTTCCCTGTGTGGATCAGGAGCTTGTGGGATCTCTGTGTCACCTGCCAGGAAGGTGTTACAATTCTAAGGAATCCTTTTAGCTGGCCTTGCCTTCTCCCTCTGCTACTGGTTTCTTGCTTCCACCAGACCCCTGTGCCTCCTATAAGTCTCTGCTGGAATCCCTGCTGGCCCCCCTCCTTGCTGCAGGATGTGCTGCTATTAATAAGGCCCTGGTCTGGTCCAATCCCTCCTCCTTCCTGCTGCTCTCACCGTGGAAGGCTGCTGTTGCTTGGGCTTTGTGCTCTGAGTGGCAGGGAACTCGATGAGCTCAGCCACAGTGGTGTCCTAACTAGTGACCTGGGGACAGTGGACAGGTAGTCTGATAAGAGATCCAGTATTTATGTTCCCTAGGGTACTCCTGGATGCCAGCATTTGCCCTCGGAGCCCCAAGCCCTTGACAGCTTCTTTCCTCTGTCCAAATGTCCCTCTGTCCATCTGGCTATCCTCTAGCTGTATCTTGCTTCTGCGCTCACCCTGCACTGGTCTCCTCTGAAGGACCAAACTCCTGAGCATCTGGCAAATTGTGAACCAACTTTTGCCTCTGAACCCTTTTTACAAACGTGGATGCCTTTGTATTTGGGGCATAAATGTTCAAAATTGAGACTTCATCCTGATGGATTTCTCCTGTGGTGTGTAGGAAGTGACCTCCTTCATCTCTTTTGATTGATTTTAGTTTAAAGTCCAATTTTTTGGATAATAGGATTTTCCCCCCCCCCCCCCCCCGCCTGCCTCCCTCCCTCTCAGGGCTGCTGTTGCTGCCTGCTGCCTCCTCCTCCCTGCCTGAATCTGCAGCGTGACTGGAAATAGGCTGAATTAATCAGCAGATTGAAGCTCTGCTCTGCCGTGCCGATTCTCTGCAGCACTACACCGGCCTCTCACTCACACATTGTCCAGCCCTCTCCCCTCTTCTCTCTCACAGTCGCTCTCTTCTTGCTCTCTCATTCTGTTCTGCTTCTCCCTCTATCCTTGAGTGTGGTGTTGGGAGTTACTATACCTGCCTGCCTGTCCCTCAGACTCTGCCTCATGCTCTTCAAGCAGGCAGAGCTATGGATTCCCCAGCAGGGCAAGCACAGCATGGTGAGTATGCCAGCTTGATTCTCACAGTTCTAATTGCCTCCTTCTCTGCTCACGAGGGAGTCTTTGGATTGTGGTTGCCAATGGAGTCCTGAAGATGCTGCAAATCAGGAAGCAGCCGGGATGAGCCTGGGGTAACCACGGCTTTGGAAGGAGATCGGGACTGAGAGCCAGAAAACTAGCGTGTCTTGGAATGGCCAGCCACGTTTTCAGGTTACTCAGAGCAGCCTTGGGGATTGAGTTTCCCAAGGGGGAAGGATGCTGAGACCCAAGGCTCCATGTACAGGTGACGAAAGCTCAGGGCTTGCACTCCAGCCCTTCTCTATAGCAAGGGAATTTTTCCCTGCTGGATCACTCAGGTAACTGAGTCAGGGTTGGGACAGTTTTTCTGAGTTTCAGTGGCTGCTGAAGATGGGGAAGCATGGAGGTGAAGGCGCTGAGGTCCACACGATCCTTTACAAGGAGGCAGAGGCAGGCAGATCTCTGACTTTGAAGTCAGCCTGGTCTACATAGTGGGTTCTAGGCAGCTACAGATGAGTCCAGATGTGCCGGCCAAACTCAGAGGGGTGGGAGTGGCAGTCTCCTTCAGTGACTTGGGTTTGCGCTGAGTTCAGCTTTGATTCCTCTCCATCTGGCCTGACTGAAGCAGCTGTGATGGGGTGGCCTGGTGAGGAGGCCAGCTGATTAAAACTGGTGGTCATCTGTTATCAAGGACACCAGTCAAGGTTTATATCTATAACCTGCCTCCCTCAATTTTGCTGCTTCTGAAACAGGTAGGGTAGGAAGAAACGTGGAGAGAACCTCAGAAGTGTTCTGCGGGACGCGGGCTGGGTGTTGGGTGCTGGGTGCTTCTTGCTGAGGAGAGTGCAGAAAAGCCCAGTGCTGCAGCTGTTGGGAGGCTCGCTAGACCACCTGATGCTGAGTTCCACACCGTGGCCGGGGTGCCACATTATTGCTCATGGTTGTCAGTCATTTTGCCCTTGTTGTCCCGGGTGAATGCTAAGTCCTGCTAGTGCTCCTCTCCAGTGTGGAACAGAGACAGCCAGCCCAGCTGAGGATGGCTTCCTTTTTGCCCAGCACAGTGGGTAAGTCTCAGTGCTTCGGAGGCAGAGGCAGGCAGATCTCTGACTTTGAGGTCAGCCTGGTCTACATAGTGGGTTCTAGGACAGACAGGATTACACTGTAGTGAGAACCTATCTCAAAAACACAAAACAAGCAAACAAAAAACCAAAACCAAACAACCAAACAACAACAACCTTTCTTTTCTGACTCAAGTCGTTCCTTCTTTGCTCTGACTACGTGTGACAATAAGTGTCCACTAAGGGCAGACAGGAATGGCAAGGGCTTGTTCTGCCTGAAAGACTTGAGCGTCCTTCTGATCTGGTCCCTCTGGTGTAGAAGCCTCCCTCCTGGCCCCAAGAACGTATCTAGTGGTGCAGTGTCAGGGAAGGGGTGAGTTTTTAGCCACAGAGGAGCAGGAGAAATCTCTTGTTGGTCTTGAGAACTTATTAAGGCACATCAAAACGCTCCTCTCCCTTGTTGACCTCGGAGGGTAAAGAGGAGCAGATCCTAGCCTGTGCTGACTTAGTTATTTATTGCTCAGGTAATAGGAACTTGCTGCATCTCTCCAAGGCGCCCTGGAACACGGAGTAAGTACCCTGCGTCCCTCTGCGTGTTCCCTACCAACCGGTTCTGCGCCTCCTTCAGAAAGCACGGTGGTTTTCCACTGAGCGCCTTGGCTCGGGATCTTCTGCCACCTGTGGAAAAGCTCAGACAAAGAGGGAAGCAGAGATTTGACCCTGAACTCTGGCCCTCCTGCCACAGAGGGGTCAGCCGAACAGGCTTAGCAGCTGGATCGTCATAGTTGAAGCCTGTGTAGATAGAGTAGGTTGGCTCAGAAGGCCCAATCCTCACCACAGGGCCAGCCTGTGTGGGCAGGCACTTCCTTTGGGCAGCATGTAATTACAGAATATCTTATTTTCCCTCTGCTGCACTGTCTTTAATCCCCTGTCTGGAGTTGGTGCCCCTGGCCAGACACAACATGTGGGGGCAGATGCAGATGCCTGCAGACAGCTCTGCAGGTGTCCTGTCCAGGGAGCATCTGTCATCTTCTGACCATGCCTCCCTCACCTGGAGAGGAGCAGAGTACCTGGGACAGGGAAGCAAGTGGGGCAAGGCGGTCAGTCCTGGGCAGGGGGCTGCAGAGAAGGAGGCAGGAGATGTCAGGGTGGCCAGTAGCCGGGAACCAGTGAGTGCTCTGCAGGCTTGGCTGGAGGAGGGTGCCTCTCTGATCCTCTAGCTTCTCCTCATGGGCTTTTCTCAGTTCAGCAGCTTCCCATGTAACCTGCACAGGGCAGCCTGTGCACTTGGCCTAGACCCTTTTCCTGCTTGTCCCTATCTCTTAGACACGCAGCAGCTCTTACCTCCTCCCCGCCTGTTTCACACATCATGAGTTTTAGCGATGTTGTCTTAATCCTGCCCATCCCAGGAGCTCTTATTTGGGGCTGGGGAGAGGAAGCCAGGGGAAGACCCAGCTTAAGAGAGCAGGGTAGCGTGAGGGGGAGTGGTAGGGCCCAGCCTGCCCTTTGTAGCCCATTGTCTTCTTCTCTGGAGCCCCAGGAAGGCCTCTGCCCCTCTAGGAGGTTGAGTAGTGCACTGAATACTTGCTTTGGACCCTGGGTTCTGGAGAGTCAGGATCCTACTGGATTTAGGTAAAGAACCTAAGAATCACTCGGCGATGGTACTGCACACCTTTAGTACCAGCACTTAGGAGGCAGAGGTGGGCAGACCTTGGTTGAGTTTGAGGCCAGCCTGGTCTACAGAGAGGGTTCCAGGACAGCTAGGATGTTACATAGAGAAACCCTGTCTCAAAAAAAAAAAACCAAAAAAACAAAAACAAAAACTAAGAACCTTGGGGCAAACCAAACGCATTCTGAAAGCTGAGGTGGCTGGTGATAGGCAACCCGGTGTGTATGTGTGTGGGGGGGCTCGCTTCACATGCATCTACAATTCAAGGTATGTGGCACTGGGCCCCTGCCCCTCAGGCCTGGAAGCCCCTTAGCATCATGGAGGTGTGTGTCCCACCAGGGCCAAAACCACATGGCCAAGGAGAAAGCCAGCGGATACATTTGGAACTAGTCAGGAAAGAGAAGTGCAGAGTGGCAGTGGGCAAAGCGGAACAGTTCCCTGCAGAGGACAGAAATGGGGCCATTGGGGTGGTGGGTCAGGGCAAGGAGTACAGACAGCCAGGTCAGTGTGTCCCCACAGGTCTTCATTCTCAGTAGACAGCCTTGAGGTGTCTCGGGCTAAGGATTTGCTTAGTAGTGGAAGTTGGTCAGGTGGCCTGTGGCAAAGACTGGTTGCCCCTTCAAGAACTTCAGGAATTCTGTTTCGTGCATCCATTTGTTGTCTTGATATTTTACAGCTGGAGATCTGTCCAGTGGATTCACCCTATATCAGCTTTGTCCCCAAAGTTTTGGTGCAGTGGGGTCAGGGCATTTTTTTTTTTTTTTTTTTTTCCTTTCCAGACAGGGTTTCTCTGTGTAGCCCTGGCTGTCCTGGAATTCACACTGTAGACCAGGCTGGCCTCAAACTCACAGAGATCCTCCTGCCTCTGCCTCCTGAGTGCTGGGATTAAAGGCGTGAGCCTGGGGGCAGCTGGTATGCCTCTGAAAGTTACAGGTTCTACTGCAGGCTTTGTGTTGACATCCCCTGACTAAGGTGTCACTGGGGTCACGGAAGCTACTTGTGGGTTCACCCATTCACACATCTGTTCAACAGATGTTCACTGAGCTTGTATGTGTCTAGCACCATCTGTTCCAGTTTGGCGGGGAGGGCTTGTGGAGATGGGAGAATTTGTCTTCAATTCTATACCAAATATTGTACCAAAATTCAAGGAATTTAAGTTACAGTAAGAGAGCCAGACTCGCCAATCCGGAATCAGTTCCAGAGGTGCAAGCTGCTGACCCAGGTGTCCTGATGCCTGTAGACTGCAAACCTGAAGTGCGGCTCAGGGCTTTCAGGACTGTCTGTCCCACAGAAGGTGACATTTGAGCTGTCTAAAAGCAAGAGTTGCCTAGTGGCATGTATGTCCTTGGCCTGGAAGTGTGCACCCCTTTGCACATGAGCAAAGGACCGCAGAGGGAAGAGCAGGGGAGGCCCCATGGAGCAGGCACAGAGCTGTGGTGCGCGTTTTAACAGCAAAGGGGAGGAGGCTGCAGAGATGGCTCAGCGGATAAAGGTGCCAGCCATGGAGCCTGATGACACAAGCAAGGTCCCTGGGACCCACATGACACATGGAGAGAACTGACTCCTGAAAGTTGACCTTTGACCCAGTCAGTCAGTCAAATGTGTAAAGGTGAAGGAGTCAGCTGTGGAGGGTCTTTCTGTGGTTTGGAAAAGGTAGGGAAGGGGAGGTAGGAGGCTAGGGTAGTGCAGACATGACTGGGCAGTGACCGTGTGGGAGGAAAGGTGACGGCAGGAATGAGTTTGGAGTTTGGGGTATTTGCCGTCCCGTGAAGCAGTCACTAGACAGGTGTGTATCCAGAGCAGGGCCAGGTTGGTGGTGAAATGTAGGCCTTGGAGGCATGTGGCTGGTAGGTGAGTCTGCAGCTGTGGCAGAGGTCTCCCTGGAGACACCCAGCAGTTGGTGAGGACGGGCTGTGGGGTGAAAGGAGGAAGAGCAGTTGGAGTCAAAGGAGGAGGAAGCAGGAACGGAGGTCACGTCACTCAACATGATTGGTCCCTATGCCCAGGGACAGCTGTGGTGACAGGAGAGCGAGGGACAGTCACTGTGCTGTCTTTCCCATGAGATTATGCCTTGCCTAACTTTTAGTGTCGAAAAATCCTGTCTTGCAAAATCGTGGTACTAGAAGGTAAAGGTGGTAGGGTCTTCTTTTTTCTTTTTAATTTTTAAAGTTACTACATCTGTTTGTGTGTGTGTGTGTGTGTGTGTGCAGGTCAGAGGACAACTTGCAGAAGTCGGTTCTCTCCTACCATGTAGGCCCTGGGGCTTGGACTCAGGTTGTCATGCTTAGTATCCTGCACCTTCATTGGCAGAACCATTTCACCAGCCCTAAGTTTTTCTTCATTGTCTTCCCCAGAAACAACATCTGAGTTAGCGCTCTTAAAGAAATAGATGGATTTCAGGCAGTGGTGGCGCATGCCTATTATCTCAGCACTCGGGAGGCAGAGTCAGATCTCTGTGAGTTCGAGGCCAGTCTGGTCTACAGAGTGAGTGCCAGGACAGCCAGGGGTAAACCCTGTTTAACCCTAGCACTTAGGGCCAGCCTACTCGACTAATTGACATAATGAGTTCCAAGATGGGATGACCAGGAATGCGTGGAGAGACCTGCCTCAAAAAAACAGAACAACAAAAAAGAAATACCTATCTTTTGGTCTGTGTGTGAAATCTCGATGTAAAATGGGTAGAGGATGGGTAGCAGATGAGCAGGAAGGCCACCGGCTCCATGGGTCCAGGGTGAGCAAGTGGACTGAACTGAGAAAGTCCTTTTCGTACTTTTAGTTTTCACTTGGCTTTAAGGAGTGTAGGAGGTTAGGATTGGGGAGAAGGGCCTGCAATCAAAGAGTGAGTCTGGGCAGGACCCTGGGGAGATGCTGACTGTTTCTGCTTCCCTGCAGGGAGAGCCCCCCTTGGCCCTGGGCCTGTCTACCCGGAAGGCCCTCAGTGTCCTGAAGGAACAGCTGGAGGCTGTGTTGGAGAAACACCTCAAGGAGCGGAAGAAGTGTCGTACGTGGAAGGTGAAGCTTCCTCTGGGGTGGCCAGAGCATGACTGGGTAGTCAGAGAAGCAGAGAGGCCCTGTCTCAGGGACATGCTGTGCTTGTCCCCTGGATGGCAAAGACTCAACTGAGACTTCACGTGGTCAGAAGTTCCAGTTTCCTGGGAGTGGTGTCCCAGCCTACTTGCTGGAGGTGGCCTTAGGATGTGGGCATATTGGAGCAAGCTGGGAGACTCACTGCCTGCCTGTCATGTTGCTCCAGGAGACATGGAAAAGCAGCTTCCTGCACCTCAATAACCGCTGCTCCTGTTTCCACTGGCCGGGGGCTTCTCTCATGCTGCTGGCTGTACTGCTGTTGCTGTGTTGCTACGGGGGTCAGCCAGCCGGGAGGTAAGCAGGGGCCATGACTTCTGCAAGCTTCATTCAAACTCCTAGGGTATCTCAGGGCTCTGGGGGGCTGTTGCTTGAGCTAGCCCATAGTGAACTGAGAACAAAAGAATCCCTTTTCTCTTGACTGGGGACCAAGACCTGGCTAGAGTCAGGAAGCAGGCTAGAGGAACGGGCAGGGCACCTTGGACTGTGGGAGCAGGCTGTGAGGTTTTCCCATGCTGTTCTCTGTGTCCCTCAACTCCAGCCATGGAGTGGAGCTGGTAAATGCCTCTGCCCTGTTCCTGTTGCTGCTTCTCAATCTTATCCTCATTGGGCGGCAAGATCGGCTAAAGCGCCAGGAGGTGGAGCGCAGGCTCCGGGGCATCATTGACCAAATCCAAGGTAAGGCTGAGGGTCAGACACTGTAGGAAAGATGTACTGTGGCCAGTCCAGACCCAGACAGACAGGTCTAGGGTGACAGGTGCCTCCTGTGGCTCTCTTGCTTCTCCAGGACAACCCAGATGCCACATACAGCTCCTGAGAGCTGCTTTGGCCACAGGCTCCAGCTGTCCTGTTCAGCCTCTCCTTTTTCTGTTCACCATCCCATATGCTCTCCTGTCCGAGAGCCTCGCTGCCCAACCTGCTTTGTGCTCTGTTCTGCTCATCTGCACCTGGCTTACTTCTCCTCCTTTGTCTCTAACCAATAGTCTTGCCCATTCTTCCTGGCCTGTTCCCATGCTGTCCTTCTCTTCCTGGAAGTCATCTCTCATTGAGTGGGCAGACAGTTTTACTCCTTCTGCACTCCCTCCCTACAGTGCTAGAACCATTCTTGATACACTTGGATACTAGGGAAGGACCCTCAGGGGAGGCATTGGTGAAATATGAGGTGTATTTGCTGCATGGAATAGGTTTGCAGAACCAGAGCTGTTGTTTCTGTTCTCATTAGATGCTCTCAGGGACGGGAAGGAGATCAAGTGGCCGAATGCCATGTACCCAGACCTCCACATGCCCTTTGCACCTTCCTGGTCCCTGCACTGGGCTTACAGAGATGGACACCTGGTAAACCTGCCAGTTAGCCTGCTGGTAGAAGGAGACATCATAGCCCTGAGACCTGGCCAGGAGTCATTCGCCTCCCTGAGGGGCATCAAGGTAGAGGGAATAACTGGGGGAGTGTCTGAAATTCGTTAGGAGTCCTTAGGCTAGGTTTTGAAGCTTCCTGCCCACCTTGGGGGTTTACAAGGGCACACGGGCAGGACTGGAACCTCCTCCTACTGTTGCTCTGTCTTTTCCTGGATCCTTAAGCCCTAGAAACCCAAGTCCCATGGGGCCCACCCCAGCGGGCTCATTGCTAGTGGAGAGCCCCTGACCGTGGGAGCTATTTCTGCTTGGGTGGCACTGTCGAGGAAGAGTGGTCTTGCCAGCCATGGTGGCATACATTTCAAATCCTAGCACTGTAGAGGCTCAGGCAGAAGGATTGTGGGTTCCAGGGCAGTATGAGCTATGCAGTGAGCCTGTCTCAAGAAACCCCAAACAAAACAGGCCCCACCTTCCCACTCCCCAAAACCCACAATGCACTCTTATAGTGCCCCTTCTTTCACTCCCCATCACTGCTGGCAGGATGATGAGCACATTGTCCTGGAGCCAGGAGATCTGTTCCCCCCCTTCTCCCCACCACCCTCACCGAGGGGGGAAGTGAAGAAAGGCCCACAGAACCCCCAGCAACACCGGCTCTTCCGAGTCCTGCAGACTCCTGTGATTGACAACATCAGGTAGCACCGCCTCTCTCCTGTCCTGCCCTGCTGTCCCCTCCTCCAGTGCATTCCTGGCCCTGAGGCACCTGCTCAGCCTCTTGTGACCAGTTTTAAACTGGGGGGGAAACCCATAGCTGTGGCCACAGGCCCTCTCTCAGGGCACTGTGTGGACCAGGCCGGGACCAAGGCTGACTAGGGACTTTGAGGACTTGGAGGTATTGGTTTGTCCAGGATGGAGGCCCAGAACCCTTCCAAGGTGTGGCTGTCTGGCTCTTCCCCCAAGAGATACTGAGGGTTGACTATTTTGCAGATGGTGCCTGGACACAGCTCTATCGCGCCCAGTCACTGCTCTGGACAACGAAAGGTTCACGGTCCAGTCAGTGATGCTTCACTATGCTGTGCCGGTGGTCCTGGTGCGTGCATGAGTGAGGGGCTGCAGGGCAGGGCAGAGGGCCAGACATGGGTGAGCTGTGGGTCCCAACCTAAGGGAGAGTGCATGCAGAGGGGTCAGAGTGAACCAGAGTGTGAATGGCAAAGGAAGGGGCCTACAGCTCAGTCCCTGCCTGGGGGAAGACACTGAGGCTATGCCCATCCTGTCTCCACAGGCTGGCTTTCTCATCACCAATGCCCTGCGCTTCATGTTCAATGCACCTGGGGTCACGTCGTGGCAGTACACTCTTCTCCAGCTCCAGGTAAGGGTGCCCTGCTGTGCTTCTGTCTTGTTCCCCCCTTTCTGTGGCCCAGAGCATCTCAGGGTTTAGCTGAAGATTGTCTCCTTGGCCTCCCTTCCTTCCAGCTCCCTGGGGGATGGCTGTGTGGCATGGCCCCCTCCCCTTCTCTTCCCTTTGGGGTCCTGGCATGCGGTTTGCTCTTTCTCAGGTGAATGGCATGCTGCCCATCCTCCCTCTGCTCTTCCCTGTGCTCTGGGTCCTGGCTACCGCCTGTGGAGAAGCCCGTGTCCTGGCCCAGATGAGCAAGGCCTCGCCCAGCTCTTTGGTATGTTGTTCCAAAGCATCAGAGGACAGCGGCCGGAACAAAAAGAGTTAATTGGCTGTGCCAGAAAGTGGGGCACAAGTCCAATTCCCCCTTGGTTTTAGCGTGTTGAGGCCCTGGGGATCTCTGCATGATTCCAGGTACTTTCTGCTACCAAGTAGGTTCCAGGCCAGGCCCAAGTGTGGATCCCATGAGTGGGGAGTTGGAATTGCCTGATGCTCTTCACCAGAGGGGTCAGGAGCCTTGCTAGTACAGCTGTGTAGACGTGGAGGTCTTTGGGAAGGCAGCTTTTTCCTCACTGATACTTACCCTGTCTGTGCAGCTGGCCAAGTTCTCAGAGGATACTCTCAGCAGCTACACCGAATCCGTCTCCTCTCAGGTAAACTGCCGAGATAGAGGAGGTTTCCTCCAGGCCCCTGCAGGCACTGAGGGCTGTGTCCGTCCTGGATCTCTGTGATTCTATGGCCTGAAACTCCAGCTGAGCTCTTGGAGCACTGCCCCCTCCCTCCCTGTTGCATGTGCGCCTGACCAAGGCTGGTCTCCCATCAGTGTCTTGTCCTAGAACCCCACTTCACAACGTTTCCCTGGACTCTCCTGGATTTGGACCCTACAGGCTGTGTTCAAGAAAGTAAGGCCAACCCCAGATGGCCTCACAGACTGTTGTCTCCCACCAGGAAATGCTGCGCTGCATTTGGGGTCACTTTCTGAGGGTGATCCAGGGGACATCGCCAACACTGAGTCACAGTGCCAGTCTGCTGCATAGCTTGGGTTCTGTCACGGTGAGGAGGCCCTGTCGGGAGGGTTGACTAAACAGACCCTCTGGCTGGGTCTGGATTGTTTCGTGTGTGGCCAATGGGTGGTTAGACTAATAACTACGTCTTTTTCTAAGCCTGCTTCTTTTCCTATAGGTGCTGTGCTGTGTAGATAAGCAGGGGATCCTATCATGGCCAAATCCCAGCCCAGAGACTGTCCTCTTCTTCAGCGGGAAGGTGGAGCCCCCCCACAGCAGCCATGAGGACCTCACAGATGACCTGTCTACCCGCTCCTTCTGCCATCCTGAGGTAGAGGAGGAGGTATGGCCCGCTCCCATGGAATTAGATTAGGCTGCTTAGCCTCGGAGCAGGGCCTGTGGCCTTGGGAGAGTGAGGCTTAGGAGGGAGAGGGGGGCTCTGGATTCCTGGGACTCTGGGTGGTTAAGATGAAGGATGAGTGGCCAAGTGTGGTCACACACACGCCTTTAATCCCAGCACTTGGGATGCAGAAGCAGTCAGATCTCTATGAGTTCGAGGCCAGCCTGATCTACATAGAGAGTGAATTCCAGGACAGCCAGGGCTACATAGAGAGACTTTGTCTCCAAAAACAAAAATCAAAACTGAAGGCTTAGGCAGTTAGGAGCCCAGAACTGCCCTGTCTCCCTGATCCTCAGGAGCCATAAGACTCTGGTCCTAGACCTGTGTGCTCCTGTTCTCCTCAGCCCCATGAACGAGATGCCCTCCTTGCTGGCTCCCTGAACAATACCCTGCACCTTTCCAACGAGCAGGAGCATGGTGACTGGCCCAGCGATGGTCCCAAGCCCTCTGAGCCCTACTCCCATCACAAAGTGTACGGCCGCAGCAAACACCCATCTGGTTCCAACGTGAGCTTCAGCAGGGACACTGAAGGTGGAGAGGAAGAGCCCGGCAAGGTGAGAGGAGGGAGACAGTGTAGAGAAGCCACCATGTCTGTCTCAGGCCTTCATGACTCCCCTATTAAAGGGAAATACCTCAGTTTGAATCAGTGGGGTCTGGAAGAGCAGGGGAGGCCCATGCAATCCTTTTTCCTGTAGTTTTCAGGCCTGGTTAGCAGATGGCTTTTGAGGTCTGACCTGAGTCTTGTCTGTGATAGGGCTTTGTCCCCATCTGGTTCTTCCCCGGGTTAGCAGCCTCCTAATTAGAATTGTCTAAACACACACAGTCAAGGCTCCCTGTCAGGTGTTGTCCCCAGTTAACACAGACCCCTGTCCCCTTCCTATATGGGTACCGCCAGGCTTATTAGTGTAGATCCTATTCTTGATCTTAGCCAGAAGGCCAGAGAATAATGGGTACAGATCCTAAATAGAAGGCGGAGGGTAGGGACAGACAGGAGAGCACTGTGGGCACTGGTACCCTCCTGGGGAAAATGGGCTTTCTTGTGGGGCTAGTACTGGGCCTGCTTGGGCATCAGAGACTTCCCACACCTCCTCCCAGCCTAGGGCTTCCCTTACCCCCACATTTCCTCCAGACCCAGCCCGGGACCGAGGGTGAGCACTATGAGGCTGAGGACTTTGTGTGTGACTACCACTTGGAGATGCTGAGCTTGTCCCAAGACCAGCAGAACCCTTCATGTATCCAGTTTGATGACTCCAACTGGCAGTTACACCTCACCTCCCTCAAGCCGCTGGGCCTCAATGTGCTGCTGAATCTGTGTAACGCCAGCGTCACTGAACGCCTGTGCCGCTTCTCCGACCACCTGTGCAACATCGCCCTGCAGGAGAGCCACAGTGCTGTGCTGCCGGTGCACGTGCCCTGGGGCCTCTGCGAGCTGGCCCGGCTCATTGGTATGGCGGTATGGCGCTGTGGCGGTGGTGTTAGGGGGTGGGGCCACCTGAGTGACTGCTGACCTTTCAGAGCAGGCCTGGTACTGACGGTCCCTGGCATGGCTTTCATTTGTCATGAACATAGCCGCTCTTAGCTCTCTAGTCTGGCAGGATGACTAATTGCTGGGGTATAAAGATGGCAGGCACTGGCCAGGGCAACTAGATTCTGTGTTTCCCTTGTTCCACGTAAGTTGGGCAGGGGAGCCCGTCTCCTCTCTTATGGTCCTTTGTGCTGCCCTCCTTCACAGGCTTCACTCCAGGGGCCAAGGAGCTCTTCAAGCAGGAGAACCACCTGGCGCTCTACCGCCTGCCCAGTGCTGAGACTGTGAAGGAGACATCGCTGGGGCGGCCCTCCTGTGTCACCAAGCGGCGCCCCCCACTCAGCCACATGATCAGCCTTTTCATCAAAGACACCGCCACCAGTAAGCCTCACTTCAGCTCAACTGGCTTCCAGACAAACCTTCCAAGGCTTGATGGGCAGGAACCATACCCCATCCTGTCTGTTCAGGGGAGGGAAGATAAGTCAAGTGAATGCTCCGATGTGGCAGGGACTGGGCTTGGGGACCAGAGTCATAGAGTGGGACTCTCCAGAGGATAGGATTATAGTGGCAGCCTCACTAGTCCATGGTGGCTCACTGACCAGGAGGTCTGACGGGAGGCCCTTTCTCTATCAGGAGTAACTTGGCACCCTCTTTAAGGACAGTGCTGGGTCAGAATAAGGCAGGAGCTGTTTTGTGGCCTCATGACCTGGTCTCTCTTCCCCGTCACAGGCACAGAGCAGATGCTGTCCCATGGCACTGCTGACGTGGTCTTGGAGGCCTGCACAGACTTCTGGGATGGTGCTGACATCTACCCTCTTTCGGGTTCTGACAGGTGACTGAGGGACTTTGCTGGTCTGCGTGCCTCTCATGGTCATGGGCCTCTCAAGAACACTTGTCTTCCTTCCTTCCCACTTCCCTGGCAGGAAGAAAGTCCTGGATTTCTACCAGCGAGCCTGCCTGTCTGGCTATTGCTCCGCCTTTGCCTACAAGCCCATGAGCTGCAGCCTGTCCTCTCAGCTCAATGGCAAGTGCATCGAGCTGGTGCAGGCGCCCGGCCAGAGCAGCATCTTCACCATGTGTGAGCTGCCTAGCACTGTCCCCATCAAGCCAAACATCCGCCGCAACAGCTGGAGTTCTGATGGTACCGTGAACTTCCTTCACCTCAGTGGGGATGGCAGGGGGCTCCCCAGGGCTGAGAACCCCAGGAGCTAATGGGCTTCAGAGGGCTCTGACATCACTCGGGGGAAGTGCCATGGGCAGTCCACAGGAATTGGGATGCCAGTGTAGCATTCAGTAGCCGGTGACATGGGGACTCCTTCAGTTTCTATTCATCTAAAACTGGATGTCCTCTCTCTCTTCCTCATGGGTTTCTTTGGTGTTCAAGAGGGCGAATGTATATGGAAGTGTCTTCTTAGGAAGGGTTACAATGGCGCATTATAAAACGTTAGCTTATCAGGGTAGGACAAAAGCCGGAGCCCAGACTGTCAGGACAGAGGGACACAGACTCTACCTTCCATCCCAAACATACATATTTGGCAGTATCTCATAAGCCCAGGAGACATGTGCTAAGGGTGGGACCCGCCCCCTAGTCCTGGAACAGGGCTGGGCAGGACCTGAGCCCTGTTCAGAGTGGCTCTCCAGGACAGTCACCTCAGTAATGAGTACCTCTCATTGTCTTTCTCTTATGTATGTTGGCTCTTATGTATCCTGACTCTGTGCGCCTGTGTGGCTGTGTGTGTGTGTGTGTGGTCCTCTGGGGGCCCTCATGCTCATTGATTTGGGTGTGGCCTCTCTGTGTGTGGCTCTGGGCTGCCTCCTGGAATCTGCTGGTTCCTCCGTGTCCTGACTGGGCTGTGTCCTGATTGTCTTGCCACATGCCGGCTGGCTTCTGTGTCTTGTGCCCACCTGAAGAAGGGATCGGGGAGGTGCTGGAGAAGGAAGACTGCATGCAGGCCCTGAGCGGTCAGATCTTCATGGGCATGGTGTCCTCCCAGTACCAGGCCCGCCTGGACATTGTGCGTCTCATTGATGGGCTGGTCAACGCCTGTATCCGCTTCGTCTACTTCTCTCTGGAGGATGAGCTCAAGAGCAAGGTGGGGAGAGCTTCCCGTTTGTCCCCACTGGTCTTTCCCACCCCTTCACCCTCATCACCATCTGCCCTTCACAGGTGTTTGCTGAAAAGATGGGCCTGGAAACAGGCTGGAACTGCCACGTCTCCCTGACGCCCAATGGTGACATGCCTGGCTCTGAGATCCCTCCCTCTAGCCCCAGCCATGCGGGCTCTCTCCATGATGACCTGAATCAGGGTGAGGGCAGAGGCTCGTGGCGGGCAGGAGTGAGTGTGGCGAGATCCACTTGTTGAGAAGTACAGCCAGGAGAAACTTGCCTAGGACCTGCCTAGATGCACACTCCCTTGGGAAACAGCCCCATGTTCTGTGGGCAGTAACAGTGGGCTGTTAAAAGTGGAGGCCTGGGGGCAGAAGGTTGTACCATCTGCAGGGCATGGCTGAGACTCGCAGAAGGCCGGCCCAAGGCGAGAACAGGCTTTCCTCCCCACAGTGTCCCGAGATGATGCCGAAGGACTCCTCCTCTTAGAGGAGGAAGGTCACTCAGACCTCATCAGCTTCCAGCCTACGGACAGTGACATCCCCAGCTTCCTGGAGGACTGCAACCGGGTACGATGGTGGAATCTGCCCCATGTCCCCGAAGTGGCCACAGAACTGACTCAGGAAGTGAAGGGCAGGAGGAGGCAGGAGAGTCCATTCTCTGCTCCCTATCTTGAGACTACCGACATCTCTGCTTCCTGCAGGCCAAGCTGCCCCGGGGCATCCACCAGGTGCGGCCACACCTGCAGAACATTGACAACGTACCGCTGTTGGTGCCTCTCTTCACTGACTGCACCCCTGACAGTGAGTGCTGCGGCCCCTCCTCCTGGGCCCTGGCAGGGATGGGCACCGCTGTAGCTCAGAAGGGATGAGAGTTTTCTAAGCAAAGAGTGAAAAAGCCCGGGCTGGGACCAGCAGGGGATGCAGGGGGATGATGCTGTGGGCGCGCTCATTTCTGAGCCCGAGGTAAGTGCGACTCACGTGATCTTGCTGTGGCCTGGGGTCACTGCAAAGAGGCTTCTACTCCCCACAGTTCTGTCCCTTTAGCCTGTACAGGGTTTCTGGCAGCACCCGCATGGGGCTCTGCCCGCCTGACCCTTGTGACTCTTTCCTCCCACAGCCATGTGTGAGATGATAAAGATCATGCAGGAGTATGGGGAGGTGACCTGCTGCCTGGGCAGCTCTGCCAACCTGCGCAACAGCTGCCTCTTCCTGCAGAGCGATGTCAGGTCAGGGAGACACCGGGACTGTGGGCTGACCTCTGCTCCTCAGACCCTGGGTGGACAGGCCTGCATGGAGCTAGGGGTCTGGTTTGGCCGGGACCCAGGGACCTGGGTCTGGTAGGAGAAGAGGGATGGAACGCTGCAGTCTTGTGATAGAGTTTTGGCAGAGTATAGTTAATGGGTGGATTTTTTTTTTCCTTTACTGAGCAGCATTGCCCTGGATCCCCTGTACCCATCCCGCTGTTCCTGGGAGACTTTTGGTTACGCCACTAGCACCACCATGGCACAGGCCTCCGACGGTCTTTCTCCCCTGCAGCTGTCAGGGCAGCTCAACAGCCTGCCTTGCTCCCTGACCTTTCGCCAGGAAGAGACCATCAGCATCATCCGTCTCATTGAGCAGGTGGGCTTCAGATGGGTCCTGGGGGGTGGGGGGGGGCACAGGGGGCTCTCTGCTGTCATCTTAAAGGTAGAATTGCAACACATGATACTTCTGGGCCTTCCAGACTTCATGCTTCCTGCCTTCCTGGCCTGTGGGAGGAACAAATGAAGCTCCCCAAGGCAGTTGAGTTGAGTTGGTCTCTGCTCCTTCCTAGAGGAGCACCGTGGGCATATGGCTTTGACTGATTCTCGCTTGTTGTAGGGCCTGAGAGAGGCCAGGCAGGACTGGCTCTTATTGTCCCTCTTGGTCCTCAGGCTCGGCACGCTACCTATGGCATCCGTAAGTGCTTCCTCTTCCTGCTGCAGTGCCAGCTGACCCTGGTGATCATCCAGGTGAGCCAGGGCCTACACAGCTATTACCTCTCTTTATAAGGGGGGGGCAGTTATGAGTCTGAGGAGTCTGGGGGGTGCCGTATAGCCGCACATCCTTGTAACCCTCAGCCTTGGAGATGGCCCCACTGGTAGAAGTGTCCTCTCTTCCCTGCTCCTCTCAGGCAAGATGTTGAGTCTGTTGGGCGAGGGTAAGGTAGCCTTGGGGTCCACAAATGTGGTTGTGTTTTCTTTCCTGGTTTAGTTCCTTTCTTGTCTGGTCCAGCTGCCACCGCTCCTGAGCACCACAGACATCTTATGGCTGTCCTGCTTTTGTTACCCTCTGCTCAGGTGAGAGGCCTGGACGTCCCTCTGTGCCCAGCCGGTGGGGGTGGGGCTGGGGTGTCAGCATGCATCCCAAGGGGACCAGAGTTTTCTGGCAAGATGGTTCAGGGGTTACCTGTGGTGCAAGGAGGCGCTGAGGCAAGGCCCCCTGTCTCATTACACCTCACTACTGGACTTGACCTCATCCCAAGATTCCCTGTAGGTGTCCCTTTGAGAGCGGAGAGACAGATAGTAACCACTGCCCCTGTACCCACACTTGATTTCAGCATCTCCCTATTGGGGAAGCCACCACATAGCTCCATCATGTCTATGGCAACAGGCAAAAACCTTCAGTCCATTCCTAAGAAGGTAAGTAAGGCAGGCCCAGGCTTCCAGGCTTCTCAGAGGGTCTGAGGGTTGGGCGTGGGAGTGGGCCTAACCTGGAAGGGACCCGGAGCGCTGACGCTTGGCTAGTGGAGCTGGCGGTTGAAACTGGAATTTGGTCCCTGGTCCCTATTCCCTGAGGCACGAGAGCTTGGGAAACACGGAAAGGATAAGCGGGAACGGATCTGCCTGTGGCGTGCGGAGGGCGGGCGCCTACCGTGGGACTGACTGCCCCTCCTTCCCGCCACAGACCCAGCACTACTTCCTCCTGTGCTTCCTGCTCAAGTTCAGCCTCACCATCAGCTCCTGCCTCATCTGCTTCGGCTTCACACTGCAGAGCTTCTGTGACAGCGCCCGGGCCCGCAACCTCACCAACTGCTCCTCAGTCATGCTTTGTAGGTGGGTCCTGGGGTTTCTCCCCACCGCCCCGGCCCGTCCTCCTGTGGGCCCTCAGGAGGCTGAGCCTTTGCCTTCCTTTGGCAGCAATGATGACAGGGCTCCAGCCTGGTTTGAGGATTTCGCCAATGGTTTGCTGTCAGCTCAGAAGCTCACAGCTGCCCTGATTGTCCTGCACACTGGTGAGGATTCTCCTCATTGGGGATGCTGACTGCCAATGGGGAAGCCCCAAGGTGGGAGGCAAGACTAGGGGCCAGTGGAAGCCTTGACACCCCATTGGCCAATCTTTCTAGTCTTCATCTCCATCACCCATGTACATCGCACGAAGCCTCTGTGGAGAAAGAGCCCCTTGACAAACCTCTGGTGGGCGGTGACCGTGCCTGTGGTGTGAGTAGTGTTTGATGGAGGGGCGCGGGACAGGGCAGGGATCATAGGAGGGAGAAGACGCTGTGACTGCCCTCCTTGAGCTAACTGTACTGGGAAAGCAGGGGACAAAAGATGACTCTGGCTTCACACAGGGCTGTTTTCTTCCATAGGCTCCTAGGTCAGGTAGTCCAGACAGTTGTGGACCTGCAGCTATGGACACACAGGGACACTCGTGTCCACTTTGGCCTGGAGGATGTGCCCCTGCTGACATGGCTCCTGGGCTGCCTGTCCCTGGTCCTTGTGGTGGTCACCAACGAGATTGTAAAGTTGCATGAGATTCGGTGAGCTCTGTCCCCTAAACCTATCACCCCCTTGTTGGCGTCCTGCTCAGTCCTCTAGTCTGAGGGGCTGTCCCAACCTTCTATTTCTTTCCTGGTGCTGCAGAGTGAGCCAGCTCCTCTCATACACTGTGCCCTGGTACAGCCCTAGCACTTTTACTTTTTGAGGCAGGCTCTCACTAAGTAGCCTAGATCCATCTTGGCCTTGTCATCCTCCTGCCTTAGCCCCCAAGAAGCTAGAATTACAGGCCTCAGCCAGCAGGCTGAGTTGTCAACTCTATTTTAATCTGTTTCTCCAGGGTCCGTGTCCGATACCAGAAGCGACAGAAGCTGCAGTTTGAGACTAAACTGGGCATGAACTCTCCCTTCTGAGCCATTGGCCATGGTGGCCGTCATTGCCCTGGTTCCTGGGGCTAGAGCCAGACTGACTCCTGAGTCTGGGGAGTTGGTATCATGAATGTTTCAGGGTTTGTCTTTGTGCCTCATGGCACTGGAGGCTCAGCTCCGGGCACTGGAGACCCTGCTGTCTTCCTGACTCTGGAGCTTTTCATGAAGGAGCCGAGAGATTGTAGCCATGGTTTGACAGGACTGCCCTGGCTCTTCCCCTGGCCTTGTCAGGGGCACTCTTGAATGTATGACCTCAGGCCCTTGGTAAAGGGACCCTCAGCCCCCTTCCCTGTGAGTGGCCTCTCTTTGGGGGTCCCCTTACCTGAAACCCTCCTTTCTTGCATCTGTGGCAGCCTCAGAGTGAGCCTCAGTCTTTGTCACAGCAGTGACTGCCGCAGACGCTGTGCCCTCTTCCCGGGGCAAGGGCTTGGCTGTGGTCCTGAGGCCCTCCCTTTCCTCTGGGCTGGAAGATGGAAAAGGGTCTACCTCACCCTGGAGACCCTGCATCAGCTGGTCATAAGTCGTCCACAGGGGACCCAGCCCAGGCTCTGTCCTTGTTCTGGGAGATTTTTTTTTTTACTTTTTTTTTTTTTTTTTTTTTTTTTTTTTTGGAATTGGC